AGAATTGGTCCTACTTTATTTTTTCATATAATTTTTTTTTTTCTAATTTTTAAATTTTTTATTCATTGGTTCACTAGGCCCGATTGCCAATACCGCAATCAGTCGATCGTGGCCAGTTTTCTAAAGGGGCGATCCGGGTCACATAGCCGTGTTTTTAAACCTTGCTACGTACAAAAGAAGGCATGTTTTTTTTTTTTTTGTTTTTTTCCGGTAAAGTACACCAAATGGGGTGTAATGCGCCTCCGATGCATTCAAAGGCACATTTGTTTCGCCGGATAGACTGCTGACATTCTGCTTTATGAGAAAGTGAGTTCATTTTCTCAAATGACTCGGAGAACAAAATAAAATTGGATTTATAGAGCTAGTGGGTCGTATTTGAACTCCTATCCTCCCAAGCCCAGCCTGTAGGGTTGGCTTGTCGGGGCCTTGGGACTCATTGGAAAAAAGAAAAAACAAGAAAAAAAAGAAGAAGAAAAATTACAAAGCCGGAATAGATGTTGCTCTGGCGTTAGGCCATATATTATGACTTGAGTCCTAGTTTTTTTTCGGCCAACCCGGTTGGGGTGGCCCGCCCTGCCCATTATCACCCTAACATCGATTCCTGGTGCACTTGTACTTTAATATCCTCAAATCATTGCGTTGGATAAGATCACCCTAACAATCTTTGTTAACAATTCATTGGGCAAAAGAACTCTTCCCTGGTATTTATAAATTCAACCGGTCTAACAGGGAACCGGTTGGTCAAATCGGAATTGGGCACTGGTTGATCCGGTTTTGGTTGTCCGATCGGGTATTTTTGGACTTGTTGGGACCTACCCGGTTAGAGAAGTTTAACCATGCCATTTGCCAGTTAATTGGACCCGGTCCTTGGCCGGTTTTCCAAGCTGGTTTGATTTATCGAACACTACTCTTTTTTTCTTAGTTTTATTTTTTCTTTCTCTTTTTTTATTTTTATTTTTATTTTTTTGACGATCAATTACAATATTATTGCTTTCCCGCTACTCTTCCCACAATAGGCCACGTTGGCTTCCCCGTCTGGTTTCCATAGATTTCCTTGCGATCGGACATCGGGGCCACTTGCAGCATCGATATCGTAAAACTGTTTTTGTGCTTTTGCGTGGGCTCATTATGTGGTTTTTCTTTGGGGATCAATAAAGGGTGATTGTAGGATGTTACAACGGACGGTGAGGAATGATGCTGGTGAGCGGAATATGAGGGACTGGTGTAACATACTTTTCCTTTTCATATTGTATTCTATTTGATGGCAGGAGAAATTTAAAATTATTTGTGAATATTTTATTGAGCAAGTATACTATCCCATGGAAGCATATACTATGCGCCTATGCCCTCACGCAAAACACCTATTTAAAAAGATTATTTTACTCTACAGTTTTGGGAACCACATAAGAATAACTAGATGATTTTTTTAAAAAAATATATTATATTTTGTATTTTGTGAAACTTAGATCTACTATTAAAAAATTGGACATGCTCTTTTCAATCATGAGGCATTATTTTTCATCTGAGAGTTTATTTCAAAAAACAAAAAAAATTTGATTGAGATTGGTTTATGGGTTGTACAGATTATATCCCCAAAATTTGTGATTAAAAGGTAATCTTAGCATATGTTATACCTGAGGGAGTAAATGGATAGCATACTGTTGCAGGCGTAGAAAACCTTTTGGCATTTTATTATGAAAAAATTTCAAGTGACGATACGCTTTTCCTTTGTCGCCATTACCCTGGAGAATCTGGAGCACAGTTATCCACTAAATCATTTGTGATCCCTTCCTTCATGCCATTTGTTTTGTGGAGGATGAGCTTTGGTTCCTGAAATAGCCTTGGTGCTGCTACCTTTCTTTATTTATATCATATGCAAGGGAAAAACAATTTCTTTAGCCATGTGTTTCGGCCCTCACCTGCTGTATGTTTTGGGCTTACAAATGTCTTTTTGTCGAATGAAAAGTGTATAGAAAAGATCTTTTAAGACTTATAAATTATATAAAAATAATAATAATTCAATTCCTAAAAGACCGGGTTTTGCTTGCAGGCAAGATGGTCATGTAGCATCTCAATGTCCATCCAAAACACCTAGATAGATAATGACAGTTTTTCAGAATGAAGAAATGCAGATGGCTTAGAGCATTACAGAAAACTAGAGGAGGCTGTCAACAAAGAAAATGTGCATAGACGAAAAACTTGATGAGGTTTTTAAAGAAGAAAATATGTATGTCCTCCAAGGTGACTGATAAAGACAGTCGTACAAAAAATCCTATTGAAGAAGACATAAAACATTGAAGTGAGTTTTACTATCCACTTACTTTTTGTATAATACTATTATTGATTAGCTTTTCATTATTCATTGGCTTTTTGAATAGTGCAAACTATCCAATAGCTTTTTAAATAGTAAAAACTATTTATTAGCTTTTTTCTATGGAAAATTGTTTTATGCGGGTTATTTTTACACTTGGGGTCCAAAAAATATAAAGCATCCATCTTAAAGATGAATGCAAGTAGGTGTTCTATCTAAAAACAGTGGAAACCAAAGATCCAAATATTTTCTTACTAATATTTTTAGTTTTTAAAATTTACTTATTTTTTCATATGCGTAATCTCCATTTTAGAGATTACATGTCCGTAAAAATTAAGTCTTAAAATCTATTTAAAAAACATATTTTGTTAAGAGGCCCATATTTCTATATATGCGGGCTGGGCCACATAGAAACATTTGTTAAGTGGCCCATATTTCTATATATAAGGGCTTGGCTACATAGACATGAGGTCTTTTTCCTATTCATTTATTATATAAGGTTGGAACCTTACGTAAAGTTTTTCCTATCTAGAGCCTTGGCAATTTCACGTCTACGCATTGAACGGCATCAAACCCGGTGTCTGAAGGATCCATTCCCAGAAAAGGGCAGCATGAAGAGCGTGCAGAAAAGGAGAAGGAGAGGGAGAGGGAATGCCCAGAAGATTAAAGCCGTAGGATTTGTAGAAAAAAAGCTTAGATCTCAAGCTTCAGCATAGAGAGAGGAAGAGGGAGTGGGCTGATGATTAAAGCCTTAGGGTTGTGGAGGGTCGGTAGAGAAAGAATGTTTGTGATGGAGAAATAGTATCCTGTAAAATTCATCTCCTTGAATTTTTTGAAATATGGATTTTGGAGCTTTATTTAGATATTTTCAGATACAATTTTGAGTTACCAAATACTTTTTTATTTTTAATAAGGATTATGACTTTTTGAATCGCCAAAATATACCACTATCGCAAGAACAATTCCTATTCCTACTAAATATTTGGATCTAGCCCGTTCTCCATGCTGGATCCCAATAAATATTTGGATCCAGCCGGTTCTCTTTGGGAACCACCTGATGGAATCCAGTTTCCAACCGACAAAAAAAAACATGTCCTATTATTATTTTTAAAAATTTTATACCCAATTTCTTTAATTTTCCCACCCACCTTTATTTTCAAATTAAAGAAGGGTAGTGGAGGGCCGCTCCTGCTTTTTATGGCAGCAATACTGCCCTCACCTGAATCCTTTTATAGCAGCCCTCCCCTCTCATCCTCTGCTGCACGATGTATCGTGGGACTGATGCTCTGTTCTTTTTAAGGCACGTTTCAGAATTGGAACTTTGGTCGCAAGGCATCTCAAATACAAACCCACGCCCATGGTTAATAATTTTTTTAAGGTGTGAGAAGTGCGGATCGCCCCCCTCCACCCCACCCAACCCAACCCAATGGAGAACGAGCATTCAGGAGCGTGGATCACATGTTATAGGAATTTTTTTTTATTTTTTCATCAATTCGCGCCTCTCCTATTAATTTTCTTTTTCTCTCTTGTCTCTCCATCTTCACTCTCCTATTTATTTTGTTTTCCCCAAGCTAACCTCTCCTCCACTTCTTCATTGCCTTTGATCTCACAAAAAAATTAAGCAGATTTGAGAGTTTTGGTGCACATCAGGTATGAATCTCAAGCTTGATGATGTATTTCTATAATTTTGTAAAGTTTCGTTGTCATTTTTCTTGCTATTTTGTCTAGTTTACATCTTTCTCTCTGCAAAATTTAGGTTAATCTCTCTCTCTCTCTCTTAATTGATGTCTATGGATCTGAGTTCCATTATTGTGTTGCAACGTGCAAACTATTATTTCATATATCAATTGTTGTTTTTTTTTTTTAACATATTTGAGGTCTAGTTTTTATATCTATTTGTGATATGCAATTAAGTTTCTCATGTTTTGGATTCTACGATTTTGTAGGGAAATCACATTGTGCTAAATGTTATTGTTCTTGTTTACTCACCAATTTTATATGCAAATTTAGGTTAATGGCAAAATCACCTTTTTGGCTTTTACTATCAATATTCACATTGTTTCTTTTGATTTACTGCAAACTGTTTGTTGTTGCCTTTTGTTATAAATATTCACTCTATTCTTCTGATTTACTTCGTTATATCCTTATTTGAATATCCCAGGAAACATCTCACTACCATTTTGTTGTGTTTATTACTTGTGCATAAAGTTGGGATACAAGATACTCAATTTTACTTATTTCACTAGATAAATCATTTAAAAATTACATAAATCAACAAATTGTAGGCCCATTTATTCGTGTGTTGGATTTTTGTAAGCTCGGCTTAGTGGTTTGTCTTTGATTGTTAGTGATTTTTGTTTTTTATAAATTTCTCATGCAAACTTTCTCCTTTTTATATTTTCTTTACTGCATATTTGTGACTTTTGTGCATTTTATCTAGCAAATTTTATTCCTTTTTGATGATTTTTATGTTTGAATTTTTTGATGTTCTTTAGTTTGATGATTTTTATGTTTGAACTTTTTCATGTTCTTTAGTTTGATTCGAGTAACAGGTAAATCAGTCAATTCAACCAGCCTAACAAGACAAGTCCTGGCTGAAAAAAAACGTGTTAAAAAATAAAAAATACAAAAAAATTGAAAGTATATTTAAAGTATGATAAACAAAACACATTCAGATGAAGTTGAAAATTAGTGAAAAAATAGATTTAAAAGAATCGATTTATGCTCAAGGGTATTTTTGAAAATTTTCAAAAAAGATGGGAAAAATGTAAATTTAAGTATTAGCGGTCAAAAACACTTTCCAATCTTTGCCAAAATGATGAAATACATTACAAATAAATCTCTTATATTTTGGGATTTTATATAATTTTTTTAATGTTTTTTTAAAAAATACCCTGCCGAATCACCAAAAGTGGCCACAACTAGAATAAACAATATCACTGGTTTTGATCTAACCAGATGATTCCGATTTGAACCGCCCGATTTTGCAAACACTGGGCTGAACACAATGGCGAGAGAAGGATGAATTTTATGACCTCGAAAATCTTGGTCTAATTGCCGAATTCCTATATTGTATATCAAAAGGAATGGCCTTTAGATGACTGAAACTTAGTTGTTAAGCTGCTGGTGTTTTCACAGAGTGAAATCCATGCTGAATTTAGATAGTCATTCAACAGAAAATGAGCATGTTTCAGCCATCTACTTTTAGTGCATGGTATTTATTAGTGCATCCTTTATCCTTTATAATATTTTGCTTTAGATGTCGACAAAATAAGCCATTTTTTTTTCCTTTATTTGGGTATATGATTTTGTTTCATTTATTCTTTTATATTCGAGCAACCTGTATGCAAGGTAAAAGCTTTATTGTATTATAAAAAATGACGGGTAAATAATGTGGTGAACTTTAATATGCAAATACTTGGCGGGGATGATATATGGATAGGATGACATATGATATATATGATGAATTTATAATGAAAATTTGATGGTGTGTATGCTAAAATTGTTATGCTGCACTTACTATAATTGGTTGAGTTCAGTTGTTTATATGGGTTTGAAACCTTAAATTGGTATTAATGCTCAATATGTTGGGCTGCTAACATGTAGTTTAGAGGGTAAGGCTGATATTTATAGTTGATAATGGAGTAATGCAATCTTGTGCTTAATCGATGGTTTGGGGTTTCCACTTGGTGGAAAGAACTTGAAGTGTATTTTCAATGGTACCATAGTTGGGTTTTGGGTTTCCATTTCGAGGAATAACTTGAAGTGCATTTTCAATGATACCATAGTTGGGGTTTCCATTTGGAAGGGTACCATAGGGGTTTCCATTTGGAGGAAAGTACTTGAAGAGCATTGGAAAATGGTACAGATACGTGGTACCACAGTTGGGGTTTCCATTTGGAGGAAAGAACTTGAAGAGCATTGGAAAATGGTACAGATAAGTGTGATTATTCTTTATAATGTTTCTTTTTTGTGCTATCTTGATTGTTCAATTGAATTTTTGGAATGCTTATTATGTGATATTTGAATTTAGTAGGTATAGAGACCAAATCTTAAACTATGCCATCAACTTTATCCATTTAGTATATAAGTTGAATGTAAGAAGTTTCTTTGGATATAATTAATTGGGAAATATAAATAATAATATAATAAATTCACTATAAAATAGTTGGGTACTTTATGTATTTCATTATAAGTCTAGAGTGTCTAAACCATTCTTCTTGTTTGATCTATTATGGATCACCATTCTCTTGATCAATTATGAATGATGGAACACCATTCTCTTGATCTATTAGAGTCTCGTTAAAAAAAACTAATATTAAAAAAAAAAAATATTTATGGATGACCCATTAGAGTCTAGTTAAAAAAAAACTAATATTAAAAAAGTTAATATTACCAGGCGTGTGTCCTGGGCGGCTACTCACTCGGAGTTCGCTAGGTGCCTTGGACCCACTAGGCGGGCTACCAGTTTCAAAGCGAGGTCGCTAGGAGCTAGGTGTCTTGGACTCGCTAGGCGGGCGACCAGCTCCCAACCCTGAGCAGCCGCTCAGGCCTTGCGCCCCCAGCTGGGCATGGCATATCCCCTCCACAAATGATTAAAAACATTCGACAACACATGACAAGCAAATCCTTTATTTTTTGGGATTTTATATGTTTTTTGGTTTTTATTTTTTCATGGGCAAAACAAATGGCCAGGTTTTTAAAACATTGCCCGATAGTTTAGAAAACTTCTTGGTTTTTTTTGCCATGTGTAGATACCCCATTTTTAAAACTGACAAATTCTGTTATATTCTTGAACCCATAGGACTATACTATCCCAGTAGACCCTTAGACCATAGATCATCATAGTCCATACTATTTGCCTTGTGTTCTCGAATCCTGCAGAATATCATGTTTTTAGTAAAAAAAATCATTAAAAATAGCAAAACATCGCGTTTTAACCCAAATTTTGGCAAGCGGCATCACAAGAGCTCGTAGATCTCCCCGAACTGGAATTTTTCGATTTTGGGCAAATTAGTATTGCCCAGACCTGACTGCTCCAAATTGACAGTTTTCGCATGTCAACCCCTCCCGAATCATTTTTTGGCCAGGTTCAATGAACCTAGACCATTTTAGTATGGTCAACACTACCAGTGTCGCCCAAGCCTGGACTACAAAAATGGCAATCCAGGCTGAGAAATCTTTGGGTTATAGTTTGTTACCCATTCTAGATGATTTTCAGCTTATAAAAAGGTTAGTTCAAGATCATTTTAGGCTAGACTCTTGAAACCTTATTAACTGGTGTGCCTAAAGAAAACTTAGTGATTGTGAGACTTGAGAAAAACCTAAACCTAGGAAAACGGTAGCTTTAAGCCACCTTCAACCCTTAGATTAAGAGATCCATTCCACGAAGCCAAAGCCGGGTCAAAATGTGAAGAGAAACAAAGATGATACACGACATAAACTCAACCGGTACTGAGACGGACGAGGCCTCGGGAGCCCCAAGGCAATTGACCCGTTTTGGTACCCTTTTACTATTTCTTGTGTTTTTATTTATTTATTTTATTAGAATTAAATTTGTTTTATTGCATTTTATGATGTATTTCGTATTGTGGATCAATGTTGGCTCTGCCATTGATATGAAAGCAGATCTATTCACTTCTAAGTAGATCTGACCTCAGATCATAATTTGATTGTCCTATTCTCTACCACATCACTTTTAAAATCAATTTGTGATTTGGATACAAGGGATCTTCGTTTGAAGATCTCCCCGATTTGCATACTGAACACCTTGTCAAATCTCGCATGGTGGAAGGATGTCCACATGATGTGGACTGGATAAATTTTGTTTAGATTATATGATTTTTGCATTATGAAGATTCAATCAAAGGTCTAAAGCCCTTGATACTTATGTATGAGGCATGTATAATATAAAAATACTTAATGCATGATAATATTATTACTTTAGAAATTACATATGCATTCTTTTGTTTTTGGTGTTTGAGAATTTAATTCTTTAAATATAAGTTATTGTATTGAACTCAAAAAGATTTACACGTACTCGAGGTGGAGAAACCATTAATAATATTGGGTTACAAAAATGGTTACATAAAATGTCTCTTGCCTGGAAATTTCTATTGGATATTTCTACTTTTTTTTTTTTCAATTTTTATTACATGTCTTTAAAAATTAAGTCAAAAAATCTATCTAAAAAAATGGATTTATTAATAGGCCTCCATTTCTACATATGCGGGCTTGGCCGCATAGAAACCAAGTCCTTAATAAACATGGGGAATCACGTCATAGAAGATTAATAATTTAAAAGAAAAATAAAAAATAACAAAAAGGGGAATCTCATCATAGAAAATTAATAATTTAAAAGAAACATGAATAAAAATAGGGAATCACATCATAGAAAATTAAAAAAATAAGGGAAAATTAATAAAAATGGGGGAATTGTGTTTAAAAGGAAAATTAATAAAAATGGGGAATCGCAACATAGAAAATTAATAATTTAAAAGAAAAAATAAAAATAATAAAGATAGGGAATCATGTAATAAAAAATTAATAGTTTAAAAGAAAATTAATAAAAACAGGGAATCACATCGTAGAAAATTAATAAAAACGTGAGAAATTGATTAAAAACGGGGGAATTGCGACCCACATCATCCACCAAATCTCGATTAAAAATTGTTGAGGAATAGCGTCCTAGAAAATTAATAAATATGGGGAATCGTGACCCATGATATTATCTACTCGCGATCCATGATAAATCTTCAGTTCTTGCTTCGAGTAGGGCTGTACTCCCCACAAAATGAAGAGTGATGATATAAATAAGAGTATTAACGGCATCATTTTTCAGAATATAAGACATCTTGTTTTTGTTCATTTTTAACAGTCCATTGTCTAGTAGTATTTAATATTTGATTTTTTGTATTTTCAGGGAGGTGAAAATCCCACCAACCACGAAGCCAATCAGTAAATCCACATACTATAGCTTTGGCGACTTCCTGGTCATGATTGCCTACCATTTTATAGGCAGAGGCACACATAGTCATATGTTTCATAGTATCCAGAATTTGATGTTCAGACATACCATCTATATTCCAATTAACTATGGTTTGTTCTGAATAAGAGGTTGTATGAGATATGAGATCTTCTTCGAATTGAATATCTACAGGAGTTGGTCGTGGGTGATATGGTCTAGTTGTAGCAGGTTTCCAATTTCTTCCATAAGATATTCTTTGAATAGATTTATTATTACTATTGTTTTCAGTAAATGCTATTCCATATTTTCTATTGAATCTTCAATTATAGTTTCTTCGACTTCTAGCGTTAATGTTTCAGATTCTTTAATTATTACCTTGCTTTTGCCTTTTACATCTGGTTCTTTGATGTCAAGTTTAGCTAGTTTAGATATTAGTTGATCTATTAGGATCTTATTATTATCACCTATATGGAATTTTTTTTTGTTTAAAGTAGGAGGTGGTTTAAATAATACAGATTTTTGTGATTCTTGTATTGGTGCTGGTCTTAGCATATTTTCTATTCTTAATGTTTGTCTTCCTATAGACTGCATACATAGGTTGGTATAATTATTTTGTTCTATTATATGAGGGATTAATTCTGTCCTTGTTATTATTTCTCCAGTGGTCATTTTATATGGAGTAGCTTTTGTTTCTAATGTAGGTGCATTCTCTGTTTCTTTACCTTTTATAATTAAACTTCTTTCTGGGGGATGTGTATTAGTAATTTTATTTCTTTCTAATGTATTATATGTACTATATTGACTTTCTAAAGTATGTATTTCAAAGTTGGGAATTGGAATATTTCTTTCTTCTAATATTTCTCTTAACCATATGGAAAACCCTTTATTTTGTTTTTTTTTTTCAGAAATTTATTGTATTTCTTATGGAATAATTCTAATAATTTTGGTTCGAATCTTTTAAGATACCAGTTCCTTATTTCTTTATTTTCATCTGATAGATAATCTGCTTCTATATAGGCTTTATCTATTTTTTGTTCTTCTAACATTAATACATGAAAATCCATTTCTGAATCAGAAAATTCTGATTCTCCTTTAGCTTCTTTCTGTATTGGTTTATATTGAGGTATTACAATATTTTCCCTAGTTCTTATTGTTCCTTGTAATTGAGGTTATAATGATGAACTAGATGCAGAAGAGAGTGAATGTCTTGATGGTTCTATTTTTATTTTAAGGATATCCAATTCATCTTCACTTTTGGTTTTTAATATTTTATTTGATCTTGCAAATTTTATTTCTATATTACCATCTATGTGTTCAATAATTTTATCAGGAATGTTGTTTGAAGGTAATTGATGTTGGGTATTTTTATTTTGTATTGACCAAGATTCAGGTAATATAATTTCTGACCATTTTATTGTTTTTGGTATTATAGTGTTGGATTTTTCTATATTAGTTTGAAATAAAATAGTTCTTCCTTTAGTATCCATTTGTACAACTTTAGGGCATAGAGTATTCATGACTTTATAATATATTCTATATATGATAGCTATATTTTGTGATCCTGGGATCATATCAAACCCTTGGGTTTTTACATTTAATGTTAAGACATTGAGTATAATTGGATCATTTAATGAAACTGAATAATTAGGAAAACAGTTAAAATACATAGTTCACTACATAGACTAGATTCTACCATTCCTAGTAATGAATAAGAAAACTTATTATGTCTAGTATCTCTAAGACATACTAAAATTGAATTATTAAGTCATAGTCTTGTTAATGGTTTAATAGCTACTTGGATAAGTCCTATATGTAAGTAATTATAATTTTTATTCTTATACACTTGTATGATTTTGTTTGATAATAATTGAAAGTTTTCTTGAGTACTAGTTACAGATAAAGATTGTTCTACTGTTTTGATAGCATATCCTATCTTTAAATTAAAAGATCCTACTTGGTATATATTATATATAGGTACTTTAGGTATAGTCTAATTTTGTATTTGATTTTCTATATCATCAATAAGAATTTCTTCCTTGTTCTTTATTTTAAGAATATTATTATTCTGAGGTAACGCTTTATTAGATAGATTCCTAATGAAATTTTCAATTATTAGGTTGCGGATGAGTGCTTTTTAACTACCTCTTACGTCTTTTTGACCTCAGCGGCTCTTTTGGCCTTAACAGTCTCTCGACTGGGTGTTTTTAGCCTCAACTCTCGGACCAACTTTCTCTAATGGTAAATTTAATTAGGTTTCTATCTACTAAAGTATTTCTCAAAGTAATAATTTTCTTAGAATAAGAACTTGGAAGTTTTTCTTAAGGGATTGGCTCTGATACCAATTTACGCCAAGATCATCCCTTTATGCTAACAGTCTAAAATAACCTAAATATAATAATATGCTAATGATTACAAATAATGAAAATGGAGATATGTCAACTAATAAGTATAAGAGGATTCATACTCTTTAATACTGAAAGCAACTCTAAATTGTATTATCAAACATAATAATTACAGACTTTGTCACACATAATAATTACAGACTTAAATGGACTGGAACATATATGGACTGTAACATATTCTAGACCAGACATACTGTATTCAAACTTCTATTTAAACAAACTGTATCTAAAACAAATAAACTTTCTTACAGACTCATGAGAAATAAAAGAAAGAAGGGCTTACTGTTTACAAATGCAGTAACTGCAGAAAGCCTTCCACTGACTTGGACAATAACTTGGGAGACTGTCCCAATTACAATCACACATATAGTTTTTAAGAAGAGATAGAAAATAGAATAGAAGTCTCTGAGACTAAAGGCCAGAAGAAGGAGAAGAAGGAGAGACTTGAAGGACGCAAAGAAAGCTCGAAGGATGCCTGATGCTTCGGCCAAATCTGCTTTTTGTAGGGAGCGGACGCGAGCTTAAATTATTTTTCGGTTTGTTGCATAATAATAGAAGATATTCATATGGCTGATGACCCAAATACATTAGCTCGACATTATCTCTGCAATAACCTAAACCTTTCTTTTGGCATAAAAACCAGAGAATGGTTTGAAGTGTTACTACTTGAGACTGGTTCGATTACCATAGCTCATTACTATCAAAAGAATTCAAAAATAATATCTTATTCAAAATTGCAAATACGAAAAGTCATGCATTTCAGTGAATGGGGATCAGATCCATCCAGGGCCAAGAGATTAATATCTCTTGAATTCCCAAATAAGTATTATAGGTATTATGAATATATTGAAGCCTGGCACAAAGTCTTAATCATACAAAACCAGTACAATTTTCACACTTGGTTTCTTCAATTCAAATTGCCAATTACTGACCCATTCCCAAAATGGTTCAAAGACTGGTTTATGGTTTGGGGATCCAGAACCCAAATAATGCCCGAAGCCTAGCAATTATCCCAAGACAAATTCATTGACCACAATGGGAGAGATCCCAATATTAATTACCACTTGTATTTCACCGCTTTATACCAAGTACCATGGATTTTAAAGTGGGCATGTGCAATATCTCCTAATATGACTCAGAATTATCAATATATCCCATGCTTCGGTAAACAAATCTCAATAAAATGGTGGGACGTCTTTGTCTGCCATCATCTTGAGCCTAATAATATTTTTAGAAAACAAATACCTCTAGCATATAATTCATTTTCATATACAAACCCAAATAGCATGTCAGAATATATATCAATAATGAAAAAGAAAAACCCTTAAGCGACTAAAGCAGAGCTAGGAAAAGAATTGCTGAAGATATTTTTGGAAGAAGCAGAAACGGCTCAGATACATAATGAAGGAACAGAACCAGAAGATCCAGAAGAACCAGAAAATAGTGAAGACCAGTCTGCTCATGGCTGTTCGCAAAAGTAGACTCTATATTGACCTGACCCGGACCAATTACCCTAACGGATCCAAAAAAGAAGTCATATAAATTATTTTCACTATATCATATCAAATCACTGTAGAAGATTCCTACCAACACTCACTGACAAAACCACGTGGATTTCATCAAAGCTAATGGCCGACCAAAGTCTTATCTGCTACAGTAAAAAGTAAAAGCTACAGGAAAAAGCAAAAGATTCCTTTCTACTTTTGTCGACCGCTTGCAAAAAGAAGAATCTCAATCGTCCATCTGTACTCCATCCAGTTGCCGACATAATAGTAACCTTTTGGCAACCGTCCACTTGCCATGCATCCAGGCACCTGCAAAAGCAACAAACCGAAGAATAATTTAAGCTCGCGTCCACTCCCTATAAATGGCAGATTTGGCCGAAGCATCAGGCATCCTTCGAGTTCTCTTAGCATCCTTCAAGTCTCTCCTTCTTCTCCTTCTTCTGGCCTTTAGTCTCAGAGACTTCTATTCTCTTTTCTATCTCTTCTTAAAAACTATATGTGTGATTGTAATTGGGACAGTCTCCCAAGTTATTGTCCAAGTCAGTGGAAGGCTTTCTGCAGTTACCGCATTTGCAAACAGTAAGCCCTTCTTTTTTTTATTTTTCATGAGTCTCTAAGAAAGTTTATTTGTTTTGGATACAGTTTGTTTAAATAGAAGTTTGAATACAATATGTCTAGTCTGTAATATGTTACTATATGTTCCAGTCCATTTAAGTCTGTAATTATTATGTGTGACAAAGTCTGTAATTATTATGTTTGATAATGCAATTTAGAGTTGTTTTCAGTAGTAAAGTGTATTAATCCTCTTATACTACTTGGCTATTAGTTGACATATCTCCATTTTCATTATTTGTAATCATTAGCATATTATTATATTTAGGTTATTTTAGACCCTTAGCATAAAGGGATGATCTTGGCATAAGTTGGTATCAGAGCCAATCCCTTAAGAAAAACTTCCAAGTTCTTATTCTAAGAAAATTATTACTTTGAGAAATACTTTAGTAGATAGAAACCTAATTAAATTTACCATTAGAGAAAGTTGGTCCAAGAGTTGAGGCTAAAAACACCCAGTCGAGAGACCGTTAAGGCCAGAAGAGCCGCTGAGGTCAAAAAAACATAAGAGGTAGTTAAAAAGCACTCATCTGCAACCTAATAATGGAAAATTTCATTAGGAATCTATATAATAAAGCGTTACCTCAAAATAATAATATTCTTAAAATAAAGAACAAGGAAGAAATTCTTATTGATGATATAGAAAATCAATTACAAAA